GCAAAGAGATCGAGGAGACAGCCATATAACTTGAAGAAGCTAAAGGAGTCTCTAATGCCATCAAGCCTGTGACATCTGAAGATTAGATGCTCAGCAGACTCAACAACATTGCAAACTTCACAAACATCACATGGTATAACGCGAATCATTTTTAAATAAACTTTGTCATAAGTGTGACCACTCATGAATCTATAAAGAATTTTGATTTCCCAGGAATTAAAAGAAGATACAGAGAAGGGCTTGAACTGAAATGTGGGATTTAATTTATAGAAAAGACGATTGGATTTAACGCGCGCGATTTCTTTAAATTCGTCGTTTAGCTGTTGAAGGATGTGGTTGCGAATTGCCCGAATTGCTTCATTGGGAGTATATTTGATGGACAAAATTGTCCCATCAACACGAGCTCTCCCTGCATGAAAGTCGGCTTTTACATTTTAAAAAAAGCCGCAGTGGCCAGGTACCCAAACGAGGTGACAGTCATCCACTTGAGATTCGTGCAACGTCTTGTGAATGTCACACCGTGTGATACGCTCGTGTGATTGATATTTATTCCCACAGAATTCGCAAATATATTGCAAAATGCGATTTGCCGTCGGCATTTGTTTCTCATAATCTGTTAAAATCGTCGGCATTTGTTTCTCGTAATCTGTTAAAAGAGCTTTAAGTTTCTCATAATCTGTTAAAATCCATTGCAAAATGCGAATTGCCGTCGGCATTGCAAAATTAAAAATGCAAATTGCCGTCAGAAAATATTGGAAAATATTGTTTTTTTCCCACCACTTATTCTCATTAACAGAAACTGTATGATGTTTTTACTGTTACTTCTTCTCATTTAACAGACGAGAAAGATTTTTTATCACCATTTTTCTTATTTATTAAAAGCAACTCTATGCTCTCCATACATAGTACTTTTTTAATAAACCATGTAAAGGATTTTGGAAACAACCTATCAGTGGGTTTTAGTGAGAAATCAAAACCATTTCGATCCAAAAAATTAATAAAAAATAAACAAGAATGAAATGTATTCTAATTTTTTTATATCAGCAATTAATTTTATTAAAACGAATTCTCAATAAATTATGTAAATTAAATTGCTTTGCGGTACAACTGCACACGTCGTTTGGTTGATGACAAAAGATAAAGTTAACAAAAGAACATATTTACCAAGAAAAGCACCTTTTTTATTACAGCAACGGATATGATATATATGCCACTGACGGTTCCGTCGGACATAATGTATCTGGCTTCTCGGTCGTGAAACATCTATCTGAAACAATACTTCGAGTCAAAGTGGAAGAGGAGCTTTCCTCTACTTTTATTGAGTTGCTCGCCTTTCGACATGCTATCATGGTTGCTTCTCGTATTGCAACTTCGCATATATTTTCACCTATTTCCATTCGGCCAGCTGGGAGATACCATTTCCCTAAGCATAAACACAAAAAGCACATATTATGCTACCATCATTAAGAACATTCGATTATGGTTACCGGCACAAGATTTTTTAGCTTCCTGCATGGCCAGAACTTCATCGTTGTCATTAATCAACACATATGCCACAATATATGTAACCGTTCTTCCTAAAACTGGTATAAAATTCGAAGCAGCAGTTGGTTGTATGCCCTGCGCTTCCGCGGTGGCGTTTTGCTCTTCCAATGAAAAGTCGCATAACTCTTGCGTTATGTCTAAGCAATTTTTGTTCAATTGTTGGTAAAGAATTCAGTTTGCAATCTATATGGTTGCTACTTCCGGTGGTATCAGACGTTTTGTTATTTTTTCCGACAGCAGGTCTACTAATAATAAATAAAAGAGATGCAGAAAATCAATATGTGTTTGACATTGACGGTGTCATGTAATTGTATATGCTCTTATGTTTATTTTCTATAAAACAGAATTTTTTTCCACCACTTCTTCCCATTTAACGGATGAGAAAGATTTTTTGTTCTAGTTGTCTTTTGGTATTTAATTATTTCGAGCTTTGTGACGCCGCGAATAAGTGGGATGAAAAGTTAATTGTAGGCAACGGTGGGTTTGGTACTGTGTTTCGTGGTTATTGGAAGCACACAGAAGTGGCAGTTAAGTAAATCCATTATCGCGGTCAGATGGTCGTGAAAGATTAATATACAAATACAATAAAGCCTTAACGAGTTGAAATATTGAAACTCGGAGTTAACCAAAACTTTAAGTCATGCGTTTTTAAATTGTTAATTTTCCCCCACATTTCAAAGCTTATACTCGTAGTATTTTGGCGTACAAGTCAAATGGAATCGAAGCATAGGTGAATATACATAAATTGGGCTTAGCTTTTTTAAAAATTTTATGCTTTTATTTACATTACTTTTTAAACATTTTTAGAAAGAGTTTTATGTAAGTGACTTTCATATTTTTTTTTTAATTAATTTAATGTGGCTCGTGAAACAAACAATAGTCTTGGTATAAATAAAGTGGTATTAAATATCGGAATGATTAATCTTTAAAATATATTTTAAAAAATCCCGTTAATAAAAAAAGAATATGTCTTACCGCGGTGTTTGGATAAATTAGAATTAAATTAACTTTTGGTTTTTATTACGAAACTAAATAATATTAAAGTTTGAGGTGGAATTTTATAACTATCATACGAAATCTAGTTGTATGTAAATTTGTTTAATGCCTATTGATTCGAATATCATGCGCGCATGTGATACGACGTATTTAGCATCAATATTTCGCGAAACTTCCAGTTTAATTGCTCCCACATACTCCTCGGAGCATAAAGTCCAAAAATGTGGTTCTTGCACAGCATAAACTCCAGCCAGACCGGTGACTTTTTGATAACACTGTGGCAGTAAACGGTCTAAAGTTACAGGTTGCCGTTGCATAAGTATATAAATGGATTCTTTTATGAGAGATAAAACGCTCATGACAATTAGCAGGGCTATAAATATCGAGCAAATTGGATCAGCTATCATCCAACCAAACAAATGCATAAAGACCGCTGATACTATAACGCCAACAGATCCTAAAGTGTCGGCTAAGATATGCAAAAAAACACCGCGCATCATTTGTGAATTTGTACCAGTAATTTCATCGCCATGAGAATGGCCATGATGATGTTTATGATCTAAAAAACGGTTAAAATATTTGTTTTTAGGCTTTTTATGAGAAAATTTGACTATTTCATTACCGCTATCTATATTAATCGCTTGATGATTATTCATGTCAATATGTACATTGGAATGCGAATGAGAATGTACGTGACTACCGCTGCCAACATCATGCGAATGGCCGTGGCCGGATCCATGAGAGTGCCCGTGACCTCCGTGATTAAAAGCATAAATACCTACTAGGTTTACCAGTAAACCTAGCACTGAGACCACAAAGAGCCTCTCATGCTTGACTTCGGGCGGTTCAATCAGTCGCTCTACGCCCTCCGATAATATGAAAAATGCCAAAAATATTAGGAATAGACTGTTAACAAAACCAGCTAACACTCCAGCTCTTTTAAAGCCATAAGAAAAACGCTCGTTAGGTTTCCATTTTGTTATTACTGATGCGGCTAGACCAACTAAAAGACCCACACAATCGAAAAACATATGAAATGAATCTGATATCAGACCTAAAAAGTAAATAATAAAATAATATCTTATCTAAAACTATGTAAAATGATCTACAACTACCTAAACTGTTTGTCCATATGCCATAGACCAGTTCAACGACAGCGAAACTTAAGTTTAGTAAAAGAAATAAAAATAGATTTCTTGAATTTCTATCTGAAAATATTAGACGTATCCAACTGTTTACTTTCTCTTTAATTCGATAAACGCAATTAGTGCGTTGCATATGTGTTAAAGGCAACATCTTTCCTAATTATTCCTAAAAAATTAACGCAACAAATTAATTATATTCAATAGAGGTGAAAAATGATTTAAAAGATAGATCGAATCTTTACTCGATACAATTAACATAGATGGAATCTTTACTCGACACAATTAACATAGTTAGAATCTTACTTGATACATGAATAAACACCATACACGAATACACGTTTGCCTACGTGTTATCACAAATGTTGGCACGCACCGTTGTCTACAACCAGTTTACCAGTTAACAAGAACTTTTTATTAAGAATTTCTTGTTATTCCGCGTATAGCAAAACGGAGTTTCAAATTTCATAAATTCTTGACTCTTATCTAAGACTTTTCGGAACTTTATGGTTAAGTTTGCACCATGTTTATTTAATATTTTTTGAAAAAAACAATTAAAATATTGTTTTCGATAAAGAAAAATTAATCTTCCTCCTCTTCCTGCCGTTAATATTTTACAGAAAACATAACATGGTAAAAGTTAAGTGCTGCCAGATTATATTAAATGGATTAAGAGACTTATGAGACAAACAGGTTGAGGGTATCCATGAATAATTTAGAAAGAGAATCTTGGCTGCTTTAAACACTATCGAAAAATGCTGTTATTGGAAAGAAGACACTGTCAATTTTTATTTCTTAAGAAAGTTAGGATGTTAACATGAGAACAATGCATGTCAGGCAAAGTCTGAAATCATATTTTTTACCTTTTTTATAAATGCATCTCAAATTATATGTTGTAACAGATTTCCTTAGTGGTTACATGTTGTGTCCAAATCTTTGAAAGCTCTCTCTGAACCTATTGAAGGTTTTATATTTTATTAGAGGAAATGTAAAAATGATTTCTTCCCTACTCTATGCAAATGTTATTGAAACAGGTTTCATGTAAAAATTAAAAATTACGGGTACAATGAAGTGTGATTGCTTTAATCGGGGACATCAGCTTTTCTAACTTAGTAAGAAGAAGCTTTGTGGGAATTCATAAAACACATGATTTTGTACGCATATAAACAAATACAAAAAACGGAAAAAATCCAAAAAAACTACGGTCACATGATTTCCGTGAAAAAGCCTTTACATGCTTAGACAGTTTAAAATATCGTCCAGTAACATAATGATGAGAAACAATACAATTGTTCGGAGTGTGAGAAATCGTTCCCTGGCTGCTCCTTTATTGCTATATCTACCGAGCGTTTCTATTAACTCGTAATGAGTCCAAATTTATTTGCCAACTAAAAATCTTGATACGATATCAATTGCCGAGAAGGAAAAGCATAACATATATGTTAAAGGTAAGTTGTGGAACTATAAGAAAGCTATGTAATTCTTTCCATCACAAGTCATTTCTCTTTACAGCGTGGTGAGTACTTGGAAACTTGGCGCAGCGTTTCGGGTGTAAGTGCCGAATATGGCTGCATTTCCATAAATATTCACGGTGTAGTGAATCTAAGTAACGGCGAGAGAGAGAGAGTCATCTTTGTTGCCAATTTAATATGTCCGTTCTCATTTTTCGCAGATTGCAAATCATTTCACCATGCCGATCAGAGTGTTTTCAATCGTGATATTCAAGAAATGCTGCAGATAGGCAGATAGCACCATTCCACTGGTGTATATCACATATCCATTCATACGTTCAGAGGGATGATATTTGGCATTATCAACATATAGGAAATATTTTTGTAAAAAGATGCCATAAGTACGAAAAATTATGTTCCCATTTTTCTTTGCATTAAGCTGTTTAGAAACTTCTTAACGTCGTTATCACCATGGTGCCTCTTTAAAATCAGATCAACGGCAGATTTAGCAAATACTTGGATTATCTCCATCTTCAAGTAAATATAACATCAATTTCTGAAGAATCATTGCTCGTTAGAGTGTGCATTGACACGGGTTTATACTGCTGCAACAGAGACTTATTAAGTTGATTATCTAAAATGTCAGGCGAGTACATGAAACCTATTATTTTGGGATAGAATGATAATCTTTAATGTAAAAATGTCAGACATAACATTTGACAACAGTACTATTTCTTGGCAATAATTCTGCCCCTCAGTTAAATCAAGTACCTAGGCCATTTGTAAGTAAAAAGCTATCTAAATTCAAATCGTTGATGAATAATTAAAAACAAACCGAGAACTAAATTTCCGATGGGCGCTCATCAACGTTTCAGAATACAATAAGATGTTATGTCATCTGTTCCAAGCTTAGTGTGTGCGTAGAATTCATGCCACCAAGAACCAGACGAAGGCGTTTTCATCGCATTTTATATAATTTCAAAGAGTCCTTCTTTGAGGTGTCCAATAAGATATTATAATCCTGATGTGATTAAGCCAAGATAGAGTTTAATCATGCAAGAAGGCTCAGAGCCCCAAGAAATGCCACAAATTTCAATGACATTGATGAGTTGAAAACATTGTTTGACTATGTTGTCAATGTGAGCTGCTGGGGAAAGTTTCGAGTGTAGGGCAGAGCCTAAAAAGTTGAAACTTTTAACAAATGGAATAGAAAAACCATAAACGAGCAGAGGCAATAAAATTTTCTATTCACCAACACCTTAAATAATCATGATAGTTAGGAAGGCTTATAATTGTTTACATAAACCTTACTTACCTCTTTCTTTCCATTCCTTATTAGTACTGTCCCAGCAAAAGAAGGCACTCGTTCACCGAAAAGTTTCGACTCTTCTTCTTCGCCAGTTTGGGCAACATTTGTTTTATTCTCGTCAATGGTAGGCGATTTTGTAGTGAAAAGGCTGGTGGAGCTTTGGCCTTCCTGCCCATCAATTTTAACCGTCACATTTTCATTTGTCTTCATTATACCGCTTTCACTGGCTATAAATGCATCCATCAGTTTTTTCTTAAAGTTGATTAAGGCGCTAGGAGTTTTTGTCATTGTCGCCGCTGGAACGGCGTACAAAAAAGTATTTTGCTTTATTAATATCAACGATGGCAATTCCATGGGTAACGTGCAATGTGTAGTAACTTCTCGACTGTCAAAGACGTCATCGTCTTTGCTAGCACTAAACGTGAAGTTATCCGCATCACATCCCCGACAACCAATGCAGAGAGGTTTTGCTTTAAAAAACTCCAGTGGCAACTTTAACTCATTAGCCAATTTTTCATTTTCTTCACTAATATTAAAGGCACTTGCTGGTGGCTTTCTGGTAACGGATTTCTCCGTAGAAATGCTGCCACAGATCGTTTCTAATATAGGTAATGCACTACCGTCCAATGCCATTTTGACAGCTTCCTTCGGCAATTTTTTTGCTCTCAAAGCGCAAACAAAATTTTTGTAACTCTATGGTTTCCTCACTAAAATCGTTGACAGCAAATAGCCAGGATTTATCATCTTTACGCTTATACTCCAAGTCTTCACTCAGAGCATGATTGAGGCATATTTTCAACACTTGATCGCGTCGCATAAGTACGCGTAGCCTTTTAGTAACCAGATGACGCAGTATTTTCACATTGCCCAGACCACGTTCTTTCCATTCACCATCAGTGAAGCGGTATAATTTAGCCCGACGAATGTATAAGGAATCCTCCTCCTCTTGGCCAGTTTTCGCTTCAACCTAATTAAAAAACCATACGTAACAATGAAGTCATGAAGAAAAAAAGCAATAAAATTATCTCCTCGGGCAATGGTATGCTGGCCACGTTGTACATATACAAAGTATGCGAGACTGCGGAATCACATTGTGTGATCACTTACTGCATAACTGCAATCATGCGGTATTTTACAAAAATAAACTTTTTAGATTTGATTGATACTTTGCATAACTCTAAAAGCTTTTATAAATATTAAAATGTTTCTATTTGTTTAAATAAATGATAAATATAATATATATTATAAGTGGAAGATGTAAAAAAGTACCCTTCATCAACGCCAAACAACACGCATTTATTTCTCTGTCCACATGTGCATATAGTATGTGCTTGGTTTTCATTTCTGCCCTGAATTACACCGAGTCAGCCAGGTCAGCGCCTTACAGGTTGACATGTTTGTCAAATATTTTGTATAAAAGTTATTAGTTAACAATCATTTATTTAAAAGAAGCAAATTTTTAGCAACTACTGTGATCCGTATTAGCAAAAGATATGAGAAAATGTATAGATTTTCTGAGTAATTACAAACATTACTTGGGGAGAAAACTTTTTAAACTCTTGAAAGCTCTTTGGGATTGTCTTTACAGATCAGAAAGTACATTTACACGCTAGTGTAAGGGTTCGATGCTTGATCATTGTTCTACAAGAAAAAACACAAGTGGTTCGCATAGTGTTGATAGCAACATACTTAATAATGGGCCTTTAAATACCCTATTGTAGTGTTTATATTCTACACCACTTGTAGTAAAGGGTACATTAAGTTAATGCGGTCGTATGTAATACGCAGAAGAGCTTAAGATAGATCCTCCTTTTGTTATACCGATCGATTCAGAATAATAATCCGAATTGATTTAAGCTTGTCTATCTGCCTGCCCGTCTGATGTCGGTCCCTCGAAATTTCGGTCCAGCCTATAGGCCGCAATTTTTAAAATATTTTGATGAAATTTGGTACAATGATGTGCCAAACATTCCCCATATAACTCTTTCTTCTAAAAAGTCGTTATATGGAAAAAAAATTGCAATATTCAAAATTTTTCAAGAAAGTAGCTAAGTAGTAGTATTTCGGTGTTCTAAACTGGTATAAAAACTCTGATCCGGCTGGACCCCTTCTCTTATAGCGAAGACTGAAGTTCATACGACAAAAAGATACAATTTTCAATCCTTCATGATAAAATTTATATCGTAGCTCTATCAAATTTGGACCATCTCATCTAAGGTAACCAGAAAGAAGCAAGAATGATGATGATGAAACAAAAAATCTTGAACGGATAGGGAAAATTAAAATCTGCGCCGAACGAATAATTTGCAAAGAGGTAGAAAGGATTTAGATTGCCTAGGAAAGAGGAAGGAAGATAATGAAATATGGTTGGATTATAGGCGGTTAACGAAAATGTAAGCTAGGTTAGCTAAGCTAAGTAAGTTAAGTTAAGTTGACGAGAATTCTTAAAACGGCTAGGAACTTGTAAACTGAGTAAAAAGAAAAACAAAGCATTAGACACCTTAGGACTGAGTTAAGCTGCAAGCAAGTACTAAAACCATTTCCGCCATGGCGAAGAGCTTTTGCTCTTATGGCTTTTCTAAGATCAAAAATGTTTGATGATAACGAAGTGCCAAAATCAAGGTCAGAAATATTTTATTAAAAAGAATCGATGATTGAACTCGAAGTTAAGAGGAACTCATTAAAATACCAAGACACAGTCTTGATTCTATGTAAGCAAAGCATCCTTTTAAAGAATGTTTACTAAGTTAATCTAAAATGATTAATAATGACAGCTAACCGTATTTAGTAAAGAATTTTAAAAGAGATTGTAAAGTAAATAAAAAATAAAAAAAAATTAAAAACTATTTTCACGCTTTACACCTTTTTAACTTTTATTGATTGAAAAAATTCTTTTCGTGAATGTAATGACAATAAGAAATTTTATGATTACATTTCAATATTACAATAGCGAAGAGACGACACCCGTGCATGGACATCTTTATTTACATTTGAGCATATATTGTGTTGTTTAAGTGAGCGTGAGTGTGATTTGACTGAGTTGTTTTAATGCGTTATTTATTATTTATATATTATTAATACATACATATACATTTTTTTAATTTACAATATTTCATATTTTTCATTATTTCTTTCACTTCTTATTACATTTTAAATATTCTGATCGTTAAAGATAATGACTAGAAATTGAAATTTGAAGAGAGAAATACACAAAATAAGAGAATCTATCTGTAAATGTATGCGTATATGCATATACGTGTGTGTATGTGCGTGTATGATTGCCTTTAGTCTACCTGTTATACCTGTTATAGAAAAAAATTTTTATATTTTATAGAACCATTTATTTATAATAATGTGTAAGATAAACAACTTCCGTTTGCTTAGCTTTTAAAACTGCAAAAGAGATTTTCCACAGAAGAAAGAAAGAGAACAAGAAAAGTTATATTGATTATACTCAGTTCAAACCGTATCGCTTGATATCTACCACTACCCCTACTACTACTACTATTAGTAAGTTACTGCCAATGTAACATGCTGCGAAAATGTAATCAGCGTGATCTGTAACTGTACCGCACTGATCATAGGCGGGACAGTCTCGGTACACAAATTTTTATTACACTAAGCAACGCATTTAACACGACAGTTACCCAACATGTGTAACTTAATTAAGGCGAAATATCTGAAGAGTATTGGAAAAAATATAACGAGGAGGAACAACGGTCTTGGAGTAAAATATTACGCTTTATTTTATGATAAAGAAAAAGTTGCTGTGTAGCGTTATTGTGAAAGGTGGACAAGCATGCATGTTGGCAAGGTATTAGACTCTCCGATCGACAGAATGATGGTCAAAACAACTATCGACGAAACAAACGGACAAGCAAATGAAAGGACAGACGGACAGAAGGATTTTATAGGTCGACCGATCCGGCGCGAAGTTGATTAATTAGCCAGTTGAAAATATTAACACAAAACTTTGACGGTGACGGACAGACCGTCTGTCAAATAGACAGAAAGATAAAGAAACGAAAAGCCAAACAGGTGTACAGACAGGTAGGATGATAACCCAATAAAAAACAAGAAACATTTCGGAGTTCTTCGCTTTGTCGAACATAGTTTCAGTCGTTAGAAGAACATGAAAATGTTTAGTGTAAAGAGAGAAAAATTTAAAGCCAGTGCTCTTAATAGGTTCATAGAAATGGGCCTCGGAGAAACCCTGAATATAAATGCGAATGAAGAAATTGATTTTGTCATGTCTATCTATCTGTCCGTTTGGTAGAGTCTCGATAGTAATATCAAAATATCCTTTGCAAAACTGAATTTTTACTAATTACTCTTGTAGATTGTCAGGCCGACGGAATGGTAGACAGATAAAAAAAACAGGCAGAAGAGAAGGCAGGCAGCGGGAAAGCTGAACGGAAAGGCGGCCACAAGACAGCAGGGAAGAAACTACGCGGGCAGTCAGGGAGACAAACAGAAATGCTGCCAGACAGGAAGACAAATATACGGATCAGTAATCAGGAAAGCCTGCGGATAAACAAACAAACAATGAAGGTCAAGAAACCGATTGCCTGGTAAACCGGCCTTGAGTGACCGATAAGTACGGATAAAATGTTTAATGCGAAAAGGCAGTTAGGTTTGAAGGGAAGTTTGCTTAGTTCTTTTGGCGATAACACAATTTTTTACCCGATAAATATGATAAACTTGCAAGACGATGACGGTTCCTCGAAAGATTATGAAGCAGTAGACCGTAAGGAAGTTAGACAAAAGGATTAACAGAAAGAAAAGATCGTACACCGAACAGTGGACAAAAAGAAACAAAGCAACCAAGTCCCATATTCGGAAAACTAAGAAGAAAGAATAAGCAAAGGAGTGATAAAAATAAAAAAACTTGTCGTTAAGTAGAGAGACGAAATTTTTTTCAGTGTTAATCTCAGGTGAATGTTTTAAAAATATTGTTCCAAATTCGATGCTTGTGGAACCTTTTAGGAACGAATTTTGCAGTGACGGAGATAAAATATGATCAATTTTTATCGAGAAGAGCCCATGAAGGTGACCTCGAAACGTATGTAAAGAGATTCCCGCTGTTTTTATCTACATAAAAATAATTTGGACAGTGGATATTTTTGTTTGGCTTAACAACGCACTATAGTTTTGAAAATTGGGTTTTGAAATTACTTTCTTAAGAATCCTTTAAGGATTAAAATCGCTGTATGTTCCTTTTTCTTCTTACTGTAGGAGTTGTCAAGTAGGTCTTGTGGTCTTATCGTATCGGCACAATAAGCCGATTAGTAGAATCACGACTGTCAAGTCAACGTTCGCAAGTTCGAATCACAGTGCTGTAGAGCTAGCTTGGTCTCAGCTATAGTGATTAGTCTTTCTATTTCACTTGTATCTCGCCGTCACTGTCTAACACGGATAGAAGCAGTCCTGAGTGGTTGGTCACGTAGCTTATCTGCGCTGCATTTACCCGGCGATGAATAGGTTTTCTTGTTAGTGGCAGAACAAACTTGTAACCGATTTCTTTATGTTTGTTTAGAAATTTTTTAAATATCATTGAGTAATCAAAGAATGCCTGGATCAAAAAGTCTTTTATCGAACGAAGCATAGGTACAGTTAATTATACCCTAGATTACAGCGTACGTTAAATTTGTCGGAACGCATGCGCAACGCTATTAAAAGTGGTTTAAATTGGACTATTTTTTCGAAGACTGCTCATATAGTGCCTTGCTTTGAATAACTGTGGAGTGGTGTAGTATATTTCATGATGAGTCGTGCTCCACTGCTCTTACTGGTTCTTACTTGTTTGTGTTCTATTTGATATTCATGTAATTTATCGCATGTGATATCTATCTTTAATGCAAATAAACATTAATATCGATGTACGAATACATAAATCACACAAATAAATTCTAAGGTACTTTAAATTTTTTTCCTCATAATGATTAAAAACAGTTTGAATCTAATCTTTTTGTAAATTGTTTTTTTTTTCGTTTTCAAATATTTCATTGACACATATTGTCATTATAAAATAAAAAAGTCTCTTTGTATTTTTATGTCGCTCACTGATCTCCTTGTGAGGGCAAGACATCAGGCGTTAGATAGCGTATTAATAAAATAAATAAGAAAACAGAAATACTGGTAGATGATATTCTTTGAATTCTTACTAATTAAGTTATTACCTATATTAGGTTATAGGAGAAGTAATGTGCAATGCCAGGAATCCTCACTGAAGTAAACTATTTTCAATGCCAGCACTGTTGCGCTTGTCATATATTGAATCGCTAAAGATCTTAATTAGTTCTCTATTAAGTTTTAAAATTAAAGTTTCGATCATTAAATGTTGTCCTCATAGCTCAACCTCATCGGTTGGGACAAATCGTGAAATGAAATTAGGTTTTTCTAGCAGCTTGCGACGTGCTTTAAGACCTATCAAAACTCTGCAATTGCGTTAATTCTCTATATTACATCTACACTACGTGCTAATTATAGTCAATAGTAGCAAAACTTTTTCTTTGCATAACATAATTTATGACATCGCTATCGACTTATGTTCGTATCTCCTATTTTCGTTTAATCTTTATAAGCGTTTTCTTATTTCTCCAGTATCGCCAAGTTGTCAGCTGCCTTAACAAAGGCGCGAACCACGATCAAGATGTTTGAACCTAGTTCACCTGCCAGCGAAGACAAAAATATGAGCTACTTAAGCTAGGCTATCTTCACGCCTTCAATAAAGTAGGTATGTTGGGCTCACTTTGCTTCAGTAAAATGCGGACTACGCACGGTCCTGACGGTCCGCACGGACTGACTTCACGTCAATGAAATGTGCGCTAGGCACGTTGGGCAAACTCGCGTCAGCAAAATGTGGACTATGTACACCGGGCTAACTTCGCGTTAGTAAAATGTGAACTTCACATTAGTAGAATATTGGCCAACTTGGCGTCAGCGAAATGTGGACTACGCACGGTGAGCTCACTTCCCGACAGTGACTTTCTTAAAAGGATGACATCTTTTCAATGTCTCGTACGTTATACAGTCAGTGCGTATCTGAGAACTTTTCAAATCGTACCAATGCATATCTTCGCATGCATTCTTTTTAGTGTTTACTTAAATGCTTTCAATAAAATGAAATGAAATTTTTATTAATTAACTGTTTTCATTCAATTAAGGAAAATTATTTACTTTCAATACAAAATACAAGAAAAAATTGAATAAATTTAAAATAATTATAAACCGTAATTAAAATTACAATGTTATTAACTCAAAATTAATTGTGATAAATATGACGGAGGAAGAAAGTGATACTTGCATTAAGGTGGGTCTTGGATGCCCAAACAAATATGTATTATATAAACATGTCATAGAGATTTTCCAAAAAAGACAAAAAAAGGAGAAAAAAAAAACAAATTAGGGCCGATTCTGTTCATGGAAAGAACTAAAGACGATTGAAACGACTGCCTTGTTCTATCCTTCCTCGTTTCAATGGTGAACTGACCTTTTTACACGAATTCAGGTCTTCTAGAATGACCGGAGAATGATCGGAGAACCTCAAAGTCAAAAGCAGCGCATTCCACTATCGAGCTGAACGAACAATAAACGAAAGTTCAGTCAAAAAGCTTTATATAAGCAGTACTAATACAAAAGGGTTCCTCGTTGATCTAGAAAATTGTGGTTGTTCGAACAAAGGATTTGGCGCTTACCACTCAAAAGTTTTATAGAGATAGATTAACAACTTAACAACTTAAATTTTAAGTAGACATAAGAAAAGATTTTCAGAAAAGCATGAACGCAAGAAGGGAGACATGATCTCTGAGTCACAATCTGACAATCACTTGAATTTATAATCGCAATGTATTTCATTCGTGGTAAGAAAAATCCCTAATATCTTGAAATTTACAAGCGGGCGGGCGGATGGACAGTCTTAGACCAAGTACAGAACGAAATACGTTTCTGCATCAATCGATAAAATAAAAGATGGGTCTATCTTAAGCCTTCCTGGGTGTTACATACATCCGCGAGAACCTAACATACCCTGTACTGCAAGTGGTATAATTAATTAATTTTGAACTACATGGGTCTATATATTGGAACTCATTCCGTATAAAATTTCTCATAAACAGTAAGACCTTAAAAAAAAAGGCTTACTGTTTAACATTTTACAAAACAATTAGTAGAGAATTTGGATTCCATAGGTCTACTGATAGACATGTAAGGGTTTTCATGAAAGGTAAGCCCTTATATGGAAAGAAAGTATAATGTCTTCTTTTCAACGACGTAAACTGAAGAATAATGAAATTTTTGGGAAACAGTGATCGAAGAAGCGAACCGGTCGGAACCATTTTGAATAACGTTGACATGGCTGAACTTATTCGAAGTGTTTAACTTTCATGGTTGACATTGATGGATTATTCCCAATTCGACCAATAAGCAAACATCAAAGCATTATTTTTTTTTAATTTATTCTACGGTTAATTTTAAATGTGCTCCTTTCACTACACCATTCCGAGCTTCTTATTATGCCGTTTCCATAAAACTTGCCGTTGATTGCCATATTACGTGATGTAATTTATATATAACTTGTTCACTTAGTAACTATTCACCCTGAACTATTTGTCATATTTAGCCATCGGTACTACCGGTTATGCTCGAAAGAAAAGCAGAAGAAGGAAACTGATAAGGACAATAAGGAACTTATTGTCTAATAATTTCCTGCATTTCGGCATATCAAAGCAATCAAGCCGGTAGCAGTTTTGGGCGACTTTTTCGTAAGCCGCTAAGCAGTATTTGTATTTATTATTGTTTTTGATGAGCATTCTGCCAATTGAAATAAAAACTCTTGCCTCGATATTTCCTCACCCGTCGTTTCTTTATATAAAATCCTAGAATTTATCCCGGCTAAATCTAAGCTATTGAAAAATACCTGTAAAGGCCATCTTTGACATTTAGATTTTACGCTATATTTTCTGGCCATTTGATCGGTTACATCCACACCGAATTTTGTATTATTGTAAACTCTTATTGTCTCTAGTATACGGGTGTCATTTTTTTCAATTTCAACGGATGAATGCTTTGATCTAAGTATCAATACTTTTTAATTGGGTTTGGCTTTATAAATAGTAAGAATAAAATCTTTCGATTTGTATAATATTGTTGAGAAGCGTGTCATACTATCCATTTGCACCTCAAGTTGTATCAACAATTTAGTTATGACCATTTAAAATATACATGTAATGATTAACGTGAGCCTAGGGGCTCTCTTTTTTTGAACAGCCGAATCACTTGGTCCTATTGACTGAAAGTGTGAGTTCAAGTGGTTCAAGACAAGAGAAAATAATGTGGAGGGCGGATTTCGAATTACGTCTACACAAATCTGGATTAGAGTTGGAACTAGAAATGGCAATATTGTCAGCTTAGCCTAGAATTGAGAGAAATTGAGGAAGGGAACTGAAAATTTTGTTGATATATAAATTAAAACAAAGAGGACTCAATACAGATCCCTGAAGTGTACATTGAAAAAATGTCCTTTGTACAACATCATCATTGTTAATTAACGTGTTCTTGCAGAGAAAGAGTTTACATAATAAATTACAGAATTTGGTAGGGAGATTCAAAGAAAGAAGGATAGATTTTCAGATGTGTGGATTGACGGAATAAAACGCTGAGGTTATGTCCAGAAAGCAGGCAACGAGAATATGATTCTTAGCAAACTCTGAATTTAAGGCCAGACTGAAGATTGCTCAGGATATGTTTGGACTCGAGGTACCATTCTAGACGTGAATATAACATCTTCTCTAAAATTTTTCTTAGGGGTGGAAACTAAGACAATACATCTGTAGGAATTAACATTAACTGGCGAACTTTTCTTTTTTTTTTAAAGTAAAGAAGTGGAAGTCGTACCTGGAGGAAAGTATGTAGCCGGTACTTGGAATATTGTTAAATTATTTTAGTAAGATTAACCTACTTTGAGTGTTCCAGATTTTGAGGTGATTGTTACGAATATCTTCTAAGCCCGGAGCCGGGTCTTTTGAAAGATTAATGGCTTTGTCGAGCTCAGAGAGAGAGATATGTCACATAAGAAAAAATTATCTAGTTCCTTATCGAGTGATACAGAAGGGATTACAGCACCAGCAAGCTTGTCACAAAACCTGGTAAAGAGTTGTGTAAAGATGGAATAAAGAGAGGAAGTGAGAGAGAGAGAGAGTTTAAAAATTCTCACAATGAGCCCAAGATCTGAAGTTCACATGTGGTTATTGACATGCTTTCACTTACTTTTAATTCTCAAACCATACGTTTATATTTAAGATTGATTTGCCTAGCCATGTCCCTCATTTAAAAATCCTTCAATTTTCTCCAAATCCGTGCTATTCTCTTTCTTTTTGTGTGGACTATTCGTCGCTGTTGCATTAGCAACAGATGTATCATCCACCTTCGATTTTAGAGCAATATTCTCCAATTTAAGTTGTTCGCATTCTTCACGTACTTTTGTCAATACATTCTCTCTCTTTAACGTCCAATTCAATTTGGGCAAACTGTAAGACGGTAGCAAATTCATCTAAAGCTTTTTTCATATCTTGCATATACATTTCGCGCGTTTCATCTTTGCTCTTCAATTCGTTATACATCTCCAATAGTTTTATACAACTTTTATAGGCGTGGCATTCGATTTTCCCCTATTTTGAAAAATTTTCTGTTAATTCTTTCCATATATTCATACAAGTGCTTGAAATATAATATATAATCTTGTATATATAAATGTATAAAAAATATGCATTCATCTTCCCTTGTACGTCTCCTGAATAGTTTTATACAATTTATATATTCTTTCCATATATTCATACAAATGCATGGTAGCGCGGCTTCTCTCTATGCTTGTCACTTGATGTTTCTTTACCCGATTCAGGCTGCGACGCACCTTGACTAAGCTTCCTCAGTTTTTTTAAGAGTGAGAATTAACGTTGCTCATCTTTTTCGAGGCTTTTCGCGAGCTACCAAATCCTATGTTTTTATATATAAAAAAACAAATAAAATAAAAAGAAAAAAAGCAAACGAGGACAAAAAGTCCATTTCCCTTAGATGTAGAAGTTCTTTAACTAATTTTAGTTTTATTCTTTATTCTTTTGAATGCTTCCTTCCGTAATTGATTTGAGATTCTGATTTATGCACTAAATTGTTTTTTCGAAACATGAAAAAATAACAATAAAGACGGTTTGTTTTCAGCCTAAAGTTTATTTTTCAAATTGTTTTGTTTGACTGCATCTTATTGAACAAGATCGATGGTATCACAATACTTCAACAGATTGTGGATATGGGAAAAATTTTGAATTAATGAGTAAAATTCAGAGTTAAGGAATAAGCAATAAAGGGAAATTACGCAATAGAAAAACACCACCATTTTCTCTACTCGAGTAGAGAAATTTTGTGAAGATCCTCTAGTGTGCGGCTGGAATCCAAAACAGCCAAAATAACTTAGCTTGCACTTGAAAGGCGAGAACTAAAGGATCGTTCTCTTGAGGCCTCCAGGACATGGTCTTAACAAGTCACCCACAAAGAAATATAGGAATATTATTTTTGAGCCTGCTAACGTGTTCGGTTATTGGATTGGATTGGAATAACTGATGTGTTGCTAAATAGTTTTCGTCCAAAGGCTGAATTCCACGATCGCTTTGTGAACCATACCTTTCAACATCCACAGCTAAACAAATATAAATTGTACCCCGCACTCCAAAAAACGCAATAGAAACCTAACCTTAAACCGTAAAAATCATTTTCTTGTTCGTCAACAAGAACACATACTTTTACAAATGCAAAAAAAGAAGGATCCACATTTGCGGCAACAAACCATAGCTTCGTAGTTGGCATTCATTGCACCGAAGCAACGGAAAAGATTCCGACTGTTATGCGTTAATTTTCTTATTCCTATATAGATTCCCCATATTTCCTCCTCAAATAATTTGGTAACCATAGGTGAACACATCCATTGCGTTAATTTGCGTTTTTAATATAATTTCCATGCCTGCCAATCACGTGCTGCCTTTCAATGCCTAGGAGGTTGGCAAAATAAAATCTCGCTCAAAATGAGGAACAAAAGAGAAAAATATATATTATATATACTGTTGTTTTACACAGAATTTGCAAATTTGTAAAGTTTGTGAAATATATTCCCCAGACGTGGGAATATAAGTGAAGATCCATTGTGTTCAGCCTTAGAGCAATTGCACTATAATTATATTGGTAGTACTGTACAAATTCATATGAACATTTTGAGCAAAACAAAAGATATGATAAAAACTTATTCTGGTTCTAAAAATAGATTTTAAAAATTTTCAAAAAAAAAAAGATGGTATGTATCTCAACTCGTGGGAAATTAAAGAAAATTCGTTTTCATTTAACACAGTAACGTAATACTTTGTGAGAATTTTCAAGAACCTTCGATTGAGGAAGCATACAAGTTTTGAATAACTAATAATTAAGAAACACTTTTCTTAATTTTAATAAAAATTAGAAAAATTTTAATTACAAGTGTGTAATTATCTAATATCCGAAAAAATGACTACTACAGATTTCGCAGATGATAGTGGGGCGGAACCTCTAAGCTATAAAGATAAAGGAAATGAGGCCTTTAAAGAGGGAAAATGGGAGGACGCTGTTAAATTTTATACAACCGCTATAAAACTGGGTGAAAAGCACAAAGAGCTGCCAGTATTTTACAAAAATCGAGCTGCGGCCCATTTAAAATTGGGAAATTGGTTAGTAGTGGTTAGCGACTGCACCGAAGCCTTGAAATTAGCTCCCGGAGATCCTAAATCTTTGTTCCGTAGATCTCAGGCATATGAGGCGCTAAAAAAATATGAAGAGGCATATAAGGACGCCACGGATTTGTTTAAAGCAGATCCGACCAATAAGTCTGTGCAACCTACATTACACCGTTTGCATTTAATTGTGCAGGAGAGAGCAACAAAAAACGCCCAAACATCTACTAAGGTACAGCAAATGATGGAGCTGACATTTGATATCGCGACACCTCCAGAAAAGCGCAAATCAGGAGCCAACAATCTCTTAGTTTTGGCTAAAGAAGAAGTTTCCGCTGATCTATTATTTAAAGCAGGATGCATCGGCAAAATTGCTTCTTTAACTAAAATAGAAAAGAATACAGAGATTGGCTCTAATCTTGTCCGCATAGTAGCTGAGCTCTGTAATCATTCCGTTCCCCGTACCAAAGGAGTACTTGCAGAATTGGGTGTGCCGTGGTTTATGCGGGTTCTGGACAACAAAGAAGCAGAGATTGTATTAGCAGCTCAATATTGCTTACAAACAATTATCAATGCTTTATCTGGTATGGAGAATAAGGCAGACAGTAAACCAAACAAAGAACTTTGTAAAGAAAATAACCGTGAAATTGATACTTTGCTTACCTGTTTATTGTACACTGTTACCGATCGCACCATCTCGGGACCTGCTCGTGATGCCGTTATGGAACTGTTGACACGTAATATACATTACACCGCTTTAGAATGGGCTGAACGTTTGGTAGAGCTTAGAGGTCTCTATCGCTTGCTAGATGTTTGCTCTGAACTTGAGGAATATAAATATGAAAGTGCTATGGATATAACGTCATCGTCTCGAACGATTGCTTCGGTCTGCTTAGCTCGTATTTATGAGAACATGCATTATGATAAAGCCAAAGAACGCTTCCAAGAGCAAATCGATGAATATGTTAAGGACAAGCTATTAGCGCCAGATTTAGAGTCTAAAGTAAGAGTAATTGTAGCCATAACTTCCTTGCTTACCGGACCTTTGGACGCAGGCAATCAAATTGTGGCCAGAGAAGGTAAGCGAAATAAGTTGTCAATTTTTTACATAAAATGAAATTCTCGCCAATTTTTCGTGAACTTAAGGAATCTTACAAATGATTTTGGCAATGGCGACTACAGAAGATGCTCTACAACAAAAGGTGGCTTGTGAATGTATAATAGCGGCTGCTTCTAAAAAGGATAAAGCCAAGGCTTTGTGTTCGGGTGGCGTAGAAATTCTTAAAAAACTTTATCACTCTAAAGATGATGGCATACGTGTGCGAGCATTGGTTGGTTTATGTAAATTGGGAAGTTACGGTGGACAAGATGCTGCTATACGCCCCTTTGCTGATGGAGCTACATTAAAATTGGCTGAAGCTTGCCGTCGATTTTTGATAAAACCGGGAAAAGATAAGGATATAAGGCGCTGGGCAGCCGATGGTTTAGCTTACTTGACTTTGGATGCTGAAGTAAAAGAAAAGCTCATCGACGATAAACCTGCTATACACGCTCTAGTAGATTTAGCTCGTTCTGGTGATCAATCTTGTTTATACGGTGTAGTTACCACAATTGTCAACATATGTAATGCTTATGAAAAACAAGAAATTTTACCGGAGATGTTGGAATTGGCTAAATTTGCTAAACAGCATATACCCGAAGAGCATGAGCTTGACGACACAGACTTTGTTCAAAAACGCATCATAGTATTGGCCAATGAAGGCATTACTACGGCGTTGTGTGCACTAGCAAAGACTGAAAGCGACAACTCTAAGGAGCTGATAGCACGTGTTTTGAATGCTGTATGCGGTTTGCAAGAGTTAAGAGGCAAAGTAGTGCAAGAGGGCGGTGTGAAGACTTTGCTTAGGTTAGCTTTGGAAGGTACAGAAAAGGGTAAGCGGCACGCTTGCCAGGCTTTGGCTCGCATAGGGATCACTATAAATCCGGAAGTAGCATTTGCCGGTCAACGCAGCTTGGATGTTATTAGGCCGTTATTAAACTTGTTAGCCCAAGATTGTAGTGCATTGGAAAATTTCGAATCTCTTATGGCCTTAACTAATTTGGCGGCCATGAACGAAAACGTCAGGCAACGCATTATCGAGGAACAGGGAATTTCGAAAATCGAATACTACCTCATGGAAAACCATCTCATGTTAACACGAGCGGCAGCTCAATGTATATGTAATATGATAATGTCCGACGACGTAGTAAAAAAGTTTGAGGGAGAAAATGATCGTGTGAAATTCATGGCTTTGCTTTGCGAAGATGAGGACGAAGAAACAGCGAAAGCTTGCTCCGGCGCTTTAGCAATGTTAACTTCAGTCTCGAAAAAATGTTGCGCAAAAATTTTGGAAATCAAGTCATGGTTAGAGATTTTACATATACTCATTGCTAATCCCAGCCCTGAAGTGCAGCACCGCGGCGTGGTTGTCATACTGAATATGATTAACGCTGGCGAAGATATTGCTCGTAAAATATTCGATACTGATATTATGGAGCTCCTAAATGGTCTTGCCCAGTTGCCTGATGATACTCGCTCCAAAGCACGAGAAGTAGCGGCTCAATGCTTAACTGCGGCTGAACGTTATCGGATTATTGAGAAATCCGATGAAGGAGAACTACCTGATGTTTTCAAAGAAGCTGCCCGTGAGCAAGAAATAGAGGAAGAGTAGAATTTAACGATAAATGTGCCTTAAAAGATATTAAGTTTAATAACGATACACATTTTCCGTTTTTTTATGACAGAGTATATTTTCTTGGCAGCAAAAAACAATATTTCCCTGTTTATTTCGTAATGTCTAATAATAAAGTGATGTTTCTGTGCAATGAAAAAAGCTTTTAGCGTTGGTAAAGTTGCCCACTTTTTAAAAGAGTTACGTTACTAAGCTTCTGAATGACATATGTGATAACGAGTACTTGATATCTAAAATGTACGTAAATTTTCCATAACAACTGTCTAGGCATTTTCAAATACTTAATATAAATTACTGCAGAACAGACTAGGTAATAATAATAATAATAATAACAACCATCAGTTCGTAAGATTGCGAAAGCAACATATCACAGATCCTACAACTTGCTCGCCTTTGATGCATTTGCTTCTACCATTAAATCGAGGATTATTAAACACTTGAAGTTTAGAATATAGTCACGAAGCGGCGACATGAAGACAATGCAGGCTCCGATAGTTGCTTCTTGTAAGAGTGTAGATGTGCGTATGTTTTGTTTTGCTCCGACAAAAGCATTACGCGATTCTAATTCTCAGAATCGACCTGCTGTTAATTAGTAGGAAAGGTATAAAGATGCTTAGAATTAAAGAAAGTGGTTTTGTTCATGTTTGCACAATCTTCACTTTCGCTGTGCGGTTTTAAATACTTGTGTCTTTACATGTCATATTTTTTTCTTTTCTCTTTAAATTACTTGGAATAAATGTCAATTAAATGAATAAAATAAATAAATAAATGTGAGAAGCATTTTTTTTTTAAACTACAAAACTGAAAATGTAATCTTTTACGGTATTTACTGTACATGGTATTTTCCCTCGAATTTAACTCTTAATTTCCGTAATCAAATCGACTTTCATCTACTATTGTTTATACTAACAAAGAAATTGTATGGTTTTGGCAGCTCTTAAGAAAAATAAAACGCGAGAGGCGTCATTTTAACTAGATGTTTTTAATAATTTGTGCAAAAAGTTTGAAAATCCGAATATAAAAAGCATTTTCTCTCCTAACAATTAACTTTTAAAAATGAAGTCGGGCTTAAATCAGAAATGGTTTGTATGTAGGAGTTGTTTGCAACAACTCAAAGAAACTATGCAAACAATATTTGATCAAAATTCGGAGAAGGATCTGACACAAACGATACAAAGTTTTTAGGGCGCCATCGAGTTGGTAATTGCGCTACCCTAGGAAATCTTTTACAAATGGGATTTCCACCAAATCATTTCACAAATGTGCTAATTGATGAGGCCGGCCAATGCGCAGAAAGTGATATTATGATCGCTGTCGCTCAAGTATCAAACGAGCGTGGCCAGGTAAGCCTTGCTGGAGATCCCAATCGTCAAGCCGTCATTATAAACGAATATGCTAGTGAACACGGTTTATCGACATCATTTTTGAAGAGAATTCCTTCATGTGCTCCATACTTTAGTTGATAGTTTTCCCCTTACGTACGGTTTTGACCCTCGTCTGGTAATAAGATTACTTTGCAATTACCGGACGTTGCCGGTATATTGAATCTTTCTAATGAACTGTTGCTAACAATGATAAGCGAAGGGAATTCTAGGGAAGCTGAAATGCTGACCCAACTTGACGATATTTTGCCGCAATATCGGCGCAACGCACATGGCATATTCTTCCACGGATTACGCGGTCAAAATATGCAGAAAAACGATTCGCCGTCGTGGTATAATCCTTACGAAGCGAAGATGGTAAGTTGTCTTTAGTTTAAAAGCACAGTATTTTATAACATTTATTTTTTTTTCAAGGTTTTTCTGATGACAAGTAAATTGTACGGTAAGAACATTAGACCGAAATCAATTGGCATCATAACTCCATTCATAGGGCAAGTGGAACATTTACCCAAACTTTTCGATGATGCCACCGTAACAGCACCTAATATAGGTACCGTGGAGGAATTCCAAGGAGAGGTATAACTGAATTTACACTAAATTGAATTAATTGAATTAATACTAACGTTGCTTTCGCTTGGTCTTTTTTAGGAACGCGACATAATATTAATCTCAACAGTGAGATCAAGCAAGGAGCATATACCTAGCGATTTGCGTCATGGATTAGGTTTCATCCAAAACAGGAAACTAACTAACCTCGCCATAACTCGACCTCGTTATCTGCTTGTAGTATACGGCAACGCCGACCTACTCGTTTTGGATCCTCGTTGGCGCATGATTATCAAGCACTGCGTCGACAATGATGCCATTTCTCTCGTTACACTAGTTTCTACTCCTATTCCTGCAATTCGTTGTCTGTCTTTTTAACTATACACCACATGTAATGTCTATGAAAAAATTAAAGATAATAAGGCAATATTTCAACAGGACTTGGCTGTACGGGCGATAAAATCTGCAAGAATTCTAAAACTTAAACTGGCCATAAGATTGATGAGGAAAACTTACGCTGTGAAACTAATCGAAACCTTGTTTAAAGATTCACATGACCACTATACATGGGTCCATATTCATACATATATATCCATATTCCCTGAAAGTTGTAATAAAACAAAAAATGAACGCTTTAGAAATTTCGGATGCTATTTATACTGAAAGAAATATGGCGTAAAGACAATTTACAAAAGCATCTCAAACAAACGCTTTCATTTGGATCAGTCAACGCATAGCAATTTAAGCCGTTCTCTTGCAAGACCTGGAAGAGAAGGTTTCTCACTAAATATAACTCTAAATGCTCAGTGTTTAAAAAATGGTCATAATAAATAAAAGTCGTGAACGTGCAACGTATATATATATTCCCGAAGACTTCTTTAAATAGTGAAAATGCAAACGTTTGTCGTAAATGTGTAGCAATATTTAATTATTATCTTTCGTATACGGCCACGGCTGTATACAACTAATAAGGTCGCGGATTCTCAACCCTAAATGTATGTTTTTGCACTTAAATTCGTGACAATAATTTAAAATTAAAAGCTTAAAGCAGAAGAAACAAACAAGGGAAAATTTTGTAGCGTCAAAGACGTTATCGGCACACGCGTGAGGAATTGCAGTTTCGGATGGCCACAACACCTGTACCAATATATGTTCATTTATATGCTTTCCATTTATTTACACACAAATGTGATTTATTATTTCTATCAACCGCTTGAGTGGCTGAGTGGGCAAGAGTTTCGACTAGCAACTCAATGGTCGTGAGTTCAAATCTCAAGTGCGGTAGAGTTTTTAATAAAGCCGAATGCCTTAGAATCCTAGTGCTGTAAGACTTTAGTCTTAGAATTTATCCTCTAATAATAATAATAATATTTACATTAAAAATATAATAGATAAACAATAGAAAAACTTTTAAAGGCATTGAAAATGACGCATACGCTCGATTTACTCTCATTAAAAATTTCAATGTACGAATGCGTAACAGTTCACTATTAGAACCAATGTTGAAGCTTTTATAGCTTATAGTATTAAACACTTTAAAATTGAGCAGAGTTCAACATCAAAACGTGGTACTGTGGATTTAACTGAAGTTGTGGATTTTCGAGAACAGTGAATATATTGAATTCAATGCTCCAGGTAGAACCGAATATGTTCATAGATTTGGAAAAGACATCATTATAGACGAAACCAGTACAGCAGGAGAATAGCTCCATAAGTAGTAGTTGGCTGCCACACCAATGCGTTGATATTTAGAGCTATCACCACGAGGTGTGTTTACTTACT